GATATCAAATTTCCAGTCAAGAAAGAGAGTAAAAGGAGAGTTCGGTGATCTCTTGGACAAATCACCCTCTAGGACGCCAAGATAGGTTCAGCTAGGAAGGGGAGGAACAAGGGAAAACAGGAGCTTTTCCCCGTGGACCGACCCGTGACGAGATCCTACGCCCAGGCCCATAACAGATTCATTCTTTTTGAATTTATCTAGAAATATTAAAAATCAAGATTCAAGAATTATATATATTCATATATAATATACCCTTATCATAAATTTTAATCTCCTAAACTAAATAATTAAAGGAATAGAAGGTTTACTTACTCAAATGTGCTCCAATTCCTTTCACAACCTGTAGAACTGCATGTTAAGCTCAAAATATGGATTGAAAATTTCTTCAATTCTGGTGTGCCATCTCCATAGTTATTCACCATATGGCTGCTTTGCCAAGCATTAATATATAAGTGACTAAGCATAACACAATCAAAAGAAAAAATAATAGACTTAGTTGTCTAATAACAAACCTGGTTCCTTTGTCTTTCGAGTAAGCTTTGCTGTTTCTCTACCAAATAAAGCTTCAACTGCCTTGAACTTGTCAATTTGATCCTCAATTATAATTCACTCTTGTGTATTGGGAATCATTTTCTCCAAGCAATCATAAATTCTTTGCTTAATTTCTAAATCCGCATTAAAATTTTCATCATATTGAAAAGTTGGATTTAGAAAATAAGTTGCTGCATGTAATGGCCCATGGAGTTGTAAATCCCAACGTCTATCAATAATGTCCCATAGTGGCTTGTATCTTTTCTTCACATTTCCCAAGTTCCTGGCAATCCTTTTGTTTTGCTCAATCCATTGCTTCATAAATATATCCCATGGCAGGCCTTTCATCTGAATCAACAAGTCGAAGAACTTTCACCAAGGGAAGAGTACTTTTTAGGCAATATCAAGGTTTGAAATGTCGATGTCCGTGGAAATGTCGGTCATCCAAATATAAGAAACATGTCAGAAATGTTGGAAATATCGTACAGAAATATTGTAAAAATTATAGACATGGTGGAAACATTGTTAAATGTGCAAAATATAGAATGTTATTTAATGAAATGATAAAAGAAGCATAGGAACACCTTTTCAAATTGTTACCTTATTCCAAATCATTAAACAAAGCTAAGAAACTAAAGTTATAGATAAAAGAATATATTCTAAAGTTTCCCTATAAACCTTAAGATTCGGATTTTCGTGATAGAATGAGTTAAAGCAAGAAAATGTAAATGGTTGTAATAGATTAACCAAATAATCTATTACACAAACAAAAACTAATGTTTAACTTTATATTTGAAATGAATATTGAGTTAGCTCAAAGTGGTAATCATATAAATTAGATGGACAATAACTTGCTACTCACCTACCTACAATATTGTTACCAAATTATGTTATGATACTATCTCTTGTACTCCACATAGTATTGGTAGTGTTCAATGGAGAATATGTCAATTCTAGTGAAATTTCATGTTGTTACCCATGGAAGTGGAAATGGAAGTATGTTGTGGAAACTATCTCTTGCACTCCACATAGTGTTGGTAATGTTCATTGGGGAAATGTTGGTTCCAGTAAAATTTCGTGTCACTACCCATGGAAATGGAAAT